CGATAAGCTCTGAAGGTAATGATAATCCAACAATTATTACATTGTTTGATTTCCATTTGTGCAATACTTGCATGATACATGCATTATCGTTATGTGATTTAAAGTTTATGGATATAGAAAATTGGCGAACATTATATGCACAATGACCAAATGACCAAATGACCTTCAAATGACCCCGGTCATTTGCAAATGACCACGGTCATTTGGTCACGAGTCATTTGCAAATGACCCAAAATCCAGATGACCGATAATGACCGGTCATTTTAGGGTCATTTGAGGTCATTTGAAAAATTTGCAAATGACCAGGTCATTTACCATCACTGCCATATACTATCAAACCATAAGTACTTAAAAATGATAATAATAAGTATGTAAGTTCGTTGGAAATTGAAAATTTAATAGCAGCACTTAAATATAGCAAATAAGAGGCCGTTTTGAACTTATCAAAAGATCCATTAAAAGAAATTGTAATAAAAAATGTGAAAATAACAATGATTACTGAAATACATGATTGATAAATAATATGTTTCCAACGAAAATATAAAAATAATAAGTAAAATAAAAATATAGAAATTATAAGGTATAATGACAAAAAAATATAATACAAAATTTTTCCAATAAGTTTATCAATTTTGATAGGTTTAGGGGGTTCAAGGGCGATATTAAATAGGGTTTTAATTGATGCGGGAGCTTTAATGAATAATTCATTTTTCGAAGTATCAACCATCTCTTTCTCGATCTCAAGTTTGTAAGTATTAATTAGCCTCTATTTCCTCAATTTCAAAATTCTCGAAATTTTTAAAATTAGTCATTTTTTTCAATTTATACTATGTGCTGTAATTATTTATAAAATTGTAGAATTACTAAAATTCTACACTTTTTTATCCCGCATAGGTAAATAAGTACGTATGTACGTAAGAATGACATCAGATTTAAAGCATCTTAATTACTTGTGTGATTTTCTTTTCACATATATAGAGGAGAGACAAAATATTAATATAGTTAGTCTAGTATTATGGTTATTGATTGAGTCAAAGATTAAAGTTGCAATATAATTAATAACTTCGCTAGTATATCCTTAGCCAACTGATTATATTTAGTTATAGAACTTCTTGTGATCAATCCGCTTTTTTATAGTTAATACGTTGAAGAGGTAACTAGATTAACCTGCGGCTTCATAATATTAGATATCATTATCCGGAGCGAAGTGGAGAACTCAATTCTATGCAAAGTGAAACCAAAAATACATTTATAATTAAAATATGAAAAATGTAACTTGAATTTTCTGTCAATCACTATTACATACTTGAGTAACACAATATATTTTATACGATTTTTGCTTCCGTACTTACAAAGGTTAGTTTAATAAATATATCGATATGTCAGTTGTTTATTACGATTATCGTTGATGAATTTAGTAAAATGAAAAAATAATTAAGGAATTTAGTCATAATAACGATAACCGAAAATTTTATTTTGGTTACAGTAAATAACGTCATAGATTTTTTTTATGAGTCTCGTCAATTCGTAGACATAATTCATAGACATAATTCATAGACATAATTCTTAGACATAATTCTGATAAACAAAAAATTTATTATGGAAGGTTTCTAACATACATAATCAAAAAAAAAAGAAATGGTTAATCTCAGAACTTGTAATGATCTTTATTAGTTGGTTACGAAGAATAAGCTCACAAATAAAGACAGAGTCTGATTGATTTATTGTATCTATAGGATAAACTCAAAAGTAACTTCCGAATTTCTTTGTGAATTACCGAATTTTAATAGCTTATAAAACAAGGTATTAGCTTAAAATTTTTTAGGTTTTAACCCTTACCAATTCGTATTCGTCTTGTAATACTGTAATATGTAGAACAATGTAACATTTAGCTTGATAATTCAATCAAATTAAAACCGCCTATGCTTTTAAACATTATTTTCGCTCTCTTTCCTTTTTTTCACTTTTCAAAGTTTTGGGATTCTATTTCGAAATAGTCGAAAATTGTGCTTCCTGATTAGTTTTTAGATTACCCTACCAAATAAGTGACTGCAGGTCTACTGCATATCATATGACTTAATTTCTTATGTGCACAGCAAAGTCAATATGATTCGTAGGGAATAAAAAATTTATCAATATCGTTTATTGCTGTGTCGATAAGAAAGATAAGCCACGTGAATGTTGAGTCGGCAATACGAATCATTCCTTAAATAAGTAGAAGTAATTCTATCGTCATATATAAAATTTTTTTCTCACGATCATATCGATATTTAGTTTTTTAACATTTTTGTCATAATTGCATAATTTCGTACAATCAAAAAAATGTGAACAACATTTTTGTCATAATTACGGTCAATCAAAAATGTTACAACGGATTAGCGTTAGATAATATCGATATAGGTTTGATCATAGTTGACAAATTTGTTTAATGTTTCGAAAACTGATAGATCACATCTGGCTATAACCGAGCTTGATACCACATATCCCAATGATCCAATTTTCAGTTGTCACGATAATAATTACGTCTCCAGATTATTGAGAACTATATTTATCATACGGCAAAAATCTGAATTTGTCTCATTAATATATATATTCAAAAAAAAAAATAATAATTGAAAAAATAGGTCAGAATGGAAGATGCTGAGAAATTATTCGAATTTGGATTAGAATGCGTGGAAAAAGAAAACTTCGATGAAGCATTTGAACACTTTTCAAAAACTGCCGATATGGGCTTTATTCAAGGAGTATTCTGTGTTGGGTATTGTTATGTTATCGTGCAAACTCTTATGATCATGGCTTTTTTTTGCCTTGATATTTTTATGCACCAAATGTTACACAATACGAT